AGCCCTGGATCCCTAGAAGTAGATTTACAGATGATTGTAAATTATCGTGTGGGTTCTAGGAACTGTACCTAGGGTCTCTGTAAGAGCAGTAAGTATTCTCTTAACCACTGAGCAGTCTCTTTTTAGCCCCCACTCACCCCTGTCATTTGCTGTGTGGTACAGCCGAATTCCAACTTGGGATCTTGATGTTTCAGCCTCTTGGGATGGCAACCATGTTCTAAAATGCCCATCATTTTTTAAAATCTAGTACCCAATAAAAATTATATATTATTAGGGTAACAAGATTTTAATATACTTGTACAGTGTTTTTACTTGTCTGTTGCTTTAAATAGTTATCATTTCTCTAGAATAGAAACTTTCTAATACTTTCTTCTACCTTTTTCAATTATACAATACATTGGTGTTATCTGTAGGATCTCTGTGAGTTCAAGTCACTCTACTATGCAGTAATATACCAGAACTTTCTAACTTTATCTAACTCAGTACCTACTGGTCAACTTTTCTCTATCCTGTCATACCTGTTCCCCTGATAGCTACTGTCAGTTTCTGAGTTTTAATTTTTTTAACTTTACATACTGTGAAATCGTGTAATTCTTGTGTTTCTATACCTAGTTTATTTCACTTAACGTTAATAGTGTCCAGTTCCATTCTTGTTATTGCAAATGACAAAAATCACATAATTCCATTCTTCTTTATAGCCAAATTGCAACAGCATTTCAGTGTATACCTCTTTTTTGGTATTTGAGATAGGATCTCTCTGTGTAGTCCTGGCTGTCTTGTGTCACTCACTATGTCTTGTGTCACTCACTCCTCATTGTTGTTTTGCTTTGCATTTCGTGGATATTTAGTGATCTTGTACAATAATTTATTTTATTACGTGTCGATTTGTAGGTATGTGAATCTGTGTGCCACTGCCTATAGAGCTCAGGAATCAGGCCCTTGTGGAACTATAATTAGGTCCAGTTATGAGTTGCCTCATGTGGGTTCTGGGAATCACACTTGGGTCTTCTGCTGAACTATCTCTTCAACCTGTGTAGAACATGTTTTTCATAACTTGGCCATTTGTGTATCTTGAAAAGTGTCTTAAGTATTGCACACTTGTTAATTGGAACATTTTAGTCAATTTTTGGAAAACAAATCAACCTTGATTTACAGTAACAAATCCCTGCTGGCCATGGTTTATAATTTTCCTTATGATTTCTTTGTGATATCAAGGATCATGTGCTGAACAAGTGCTCTGTCACTGAACTACATTTCTAGTTAATCTTATATACGTGTTGCTTAATGCTGTTAAATCCTGTACCATACACTGATTCTCTGCTTATTGTAATTGCAAATTTCTCACATTACTTCAGGTCTAATTCTAATACCATTTGAGAAGAAGTAAAATTATTTTCACTGGCTATTTATATAGAGTAGGTTACTCATACTGAGCTACAGATTTATTCTGTATTTTAAATGGGAAGCTTTATAGGAAAATAGTAACAACAATACTCTTTAACTCTTTACTTTCATAGCCTATGGACCAGCTCTTATTGAGCACTGTCTTATAGAAAATGGATTCTCTGGCAATGTCAAAGTGGATGAAAAACTTGAAAGCAAAGGTATGTCTGCATGATCCAGACTTTGTACATTTTCATGTTTCCTTTTTCCTTTGATCCTTTTTCGTGGTACTGGAAATTGAACCTAAGGCCCCACAAGTGCTAGGAAAATGTACTGCTGATAAAAACCTCATTTATCCTCTTTTTTTGATTTGAGTTTTTTGGAAATAGGTTTCTCCTACATTGTAGTGTACTCTTGAGTTCATCTTGTACTCAGTTCATCTTGTACAGGTGTCATCTTGAACTCTGAGTCTTCCTGCCTCAGCCTCCTGTGTGCTGGGATCATGTGTGTGTGCTAGCACACCTAGCCTTGCCTTCCTTTTTAATGTGTATGAGTGTTTTGCTTCCTATGTATCTGTTGGCTACATGCTTGCCTAGTGCCCTGGAAGGCCAGAAGAAGGTGTCATATCTCCTGGGACTGGAATTACAACTCATGTCAGCCTCCATGGTAGCTGCCGGTAATTGAACTTGTGTCCTCTGGAAGAACAGCCAGTGTTTTTTTTT